CAGTGATGGAGGAAACCAACGTTCCCCACCTGCCTTGCAGGCCTCTGAGCCTGCAGTTTGAAACATTTTAACAAATATAGAAGCTAAAAAAAAAAACACCCAGAAACCAGCTTTCAGCGAGCTGAGATCTCAGAGCTGGAGTCAGAGCTGGAGTTATACATTGTTTCGATTACCTACTTTCAGCAGTGGAGGCCTAAGAGCTGGAGCCCCAGAGCTAAAGCTGGCCCAGAATTAAAAAAAAGAAAAAAGAAAAAAAGGAGCGGTTGAGAGCTTCCGTCACCCGCCAGCCTGAAAACAGCCCTCAGCCCCTCACCCAGGCTGGTCAGGCACCCCAGTGGGGACCCTCACCCTGAAGGGTGTGTGACCAGCTGCAAATAGCCATCAGCCCCTCACCCAGGCTGGCCAGGCACCCCAGTGGGGACCCCCACCCTGATCCAGGACATCCTTCAGGGCAAACCAGCCAGCCCCACCAATGCACCAGGCCTCTATCCTATATAGTAAAAGGGTAATATGCCTCCCAGCACTGGGATCAGCATGACAGGGGGCAGCGCCCAAACCCCCTGATTGCCCTGCGGCTCTGTGTGTGACAGGGGGTGGGGCCACAACCTCCGTATCAGCCCTGCTCTGTTCATGACAGGGGAAGGCGCCCCAACCTCCTGATCAGCCCTGCTCTGTGTCTGATATGGGGGAGCTCCCCAACCTCTGATCGCCCTGCGGCTCTGTGTGTGACAGGGTGCTGCGCCCCAACCCCCTGATCGGCCCTGCTCTGTGTGTGACAGGGTACGGCGCCCCAACCCCCCCACCCCACGGGCCCTGCTCTGTGTGTGACAGGGTAGAGCCATAACCTCCCCATGGGCCCTGCCCTGAGTGTGAGAGTGGCGGTGCTCCAACCCCCTGATCGGCCCTGTTCTGTGGGTGATAGAGGGCGGCGCCACAACCCCCACCCCTCCCACAGGCCCTGCTCTGTGTGTGATGGGGTAGAACCATAACTTCCCCATCGACCCTGCCCTGAGTGTGAGAGTGGTGGCGTCCCAACCCCCTGATCGGCCCTACTCTGTGGGTGATAGAGGGCAGCGCCCCAACCCCCTGATCCGCCCTGCTCTGTGCGTGACAGGGGGCAGCATCCCAACCCCCGGATTGGCCATGCTTTGTGCATGACAGGGGGTGGCACCACAACCTCCCCATCGACCCTGCCTTGAGTGTGACAGGGGGCAGTGCCCCAACCCCCCAATCGGCCCTACCCTGAGCATGACTGGGGGCTGCACCTAGGGATTGGGCCTGCCCTCTGCCACCCAGGAGCAGGCCTAAGCCAGCAGGTCGTTATCTCCCGAGGGGTCCCAGACTGCAAGAGGGCACAAGCCTGGCTGAGGGACCCCCCCCCTTCCCCCTGAGTGCACAAATTTTTGTGCACCGGGCCTCTAGTCTTTCTAATAATCTCTCAAGAACCCACAGTGCATATATGACCTTTATGTGTAAAATTGAATGAATTTGGGGTTAATCCCAAAAGAATGTCATGTTCACATTCTGACTATCTTTCTTGGACAGGAGACCAAGGGATGCAGACGCAGCTGGCATGCTTGCTGAGCCCTGGGGATGCTAGTGAATGTGCCCAGCATGTTGGTAACAGTTCACATATCACCATGAAGAAAAGGCAGAGAATGTCCCTCAGAGCCAGTGGAGACTTGGTCTGAGGATGTGTGTGCAGGGTGGGCAGAGAACAACTGTGTTTTATTGTAAGCCCTTTTACAATGTTTGGATTTTATTATTTTTTATATGTGTTTATATGAGCAAGTACTATAAACTTGAAAGGAAAAAATGTATTAAATTATACTATCAGGTCATCAGTCCCATACTACACTAAAAGGGGTAGGGAACAGGGACACTATGCTAACTTACGGTAACGTTTCAGGCAGAAGATAAGGCAATCTGCCAGCAGATACAAGAATTTAAAAAAGGAAAAGATTAGTAGCCAGGGACAATTAATGTGGGCATCTCAGAGATCATCATAGTATCACCAGTGCCATATGGATGCTTCCAGCGAAGGTCTGAGTGACCCAGCCACACTCTGTCTAAGGGGGCAGGAGGAAGGGGATAATTTTAGCACAACATTTATCCAAAGGAGTTCAAATTACAAGTTAAAGAGGCATCATTCTTATGTGCCTTTGCTTCATAGCATTTAAATTACAGTGAGCCTTTACAGATCCTTCTAATCAAACCTGCCAGCTGTTTGCATGAACCTCTACTGTATGGTCACCAGGCTTCCCTGGGAGGAAGATAACTCTCACAGAGCTTTTTTTTCTCCTCAAGCCAGAAAGGGCTATAGGCCTGGCCTCGGAGTAGGAACAGACCCTGACCTTTGTGGAATGGAAGGAGGGAAGAGGCCTGTCCTTGCTCCTCACTCCCAGATGCTTTTCACCAAGTCCCACACAAAACTAAGAAACAGAATTGCCTGCCATCATTGCTCAGCTCCTTCTGGCTGTTGGAATAATTGAAACTTGAAAGGTCTGCTCTGCTTCTGAGAAAAAAGTTTAGCATTTAGGGGTAAACCTTAGTACATACTGCCTCAAACATTAAATGTTGGATATCTTGTGAAATTTGATTCCTATTCTCTCCAGTTTTCTAGATAGAGAGCTGGAAAAAGACCCTAAATGGAGGCAGCAATGGGAACTTCAGGACCCTTGTTTAATCATAGTCTACCTGGGTGGGCCTGGGGGTAGGAATCTAGGCTTCCATAGCAACAAAGGCTTATGGAAACTACCAGCATTAGCCAGAGATCTCAGACCTACCAGAGGGGCTAAGGTGGGCCAGCCAAATTAGAGAGGGGCTTGGGGCCTCCAGCTTGGGCCCTACTGTTCATAGAATTGAACTCAGACCAATAGCACCTCAAAGTCACTGCCTGAACTCACTTTGGGAGGCTGGACCTTAATTCCCCCTCCACACTCTTTTCTTTACCCCTTCCTTTTCTTCTTCCCCTTTATCACCTCCTTTATCCTTCTCTCTCCCTCCCCTCCCTCCACCTCCTTCTGCCCTCTCCATCTTCTCTCTTCACTACTCCCCCATCTTCCCCTCATCCTTGCACTTTCCCTTCTTCCCCTCATTCTTTTACCTTTTCTGCTCTCCACCTTTCTCCTTCTTCACCCCCTTCTCTTCCCTCTCTCCCTCTAACTTCAATGAAATAGATCAAATAGCTCTGTGGACTCCAAGAGGATCCAAGGTTAGTCACCTCCAGGGGCCCCAGCTACCTGAAGGCCAAAAGTTCAGAGTAAAATAAAAAGCTACTCATTTCATCCCTGGGTTAGAGGAAAGGGGCTCTTCACACCCAGAGGACACTCTTTTTTTTTTCAAGAATCAGAGGTACTTCAATGGCTGCCTGTCCACTGTTGCCGCTTTCCTTCCACAGGCTCCCACCTCTGCCTGCTGGCTTCTAACCCTGCCTTCCCCTCCTCCACCTGGAGGACTGAGGCAAGGTGACCTGTGTTTACAGGGCTCTGAGTTAAAGAAAACACTCTACAGCTCCAGAAGTTGCAGTGCTCACAGGAAAGGCTCCAGTGCAGCTTGTAGTTGAGGTCCTGAGCTTCACACCCCACAGTCCCCACCCTGCCCCACCTGGCAAGGCCATCCACACACACACCAGGAACAGAGGAAGTCCAAGCTCCAGGGCCCTGTACATGCCCTGGCCCTTCCAAGAGCCTGGGAAGAGCCCTAGCATTGTGTTCCCAAGGTCCTGTATTTTTGTAAGATTTGCAAACAGAATATTTTTAGCCACAGCTGGGGTCCAGCATTGTTCCTGTCTACACCAGCTTACTTCCATCAGACTTCTCCTCTGGTCAGAAGGCTCTGAAGGGCTGTGGGGAGCCCACATAGGGAAGCTGAATTGGGAATACCTTTAGTTTGCCTTTAGTGGGATAAGACTCTGTGGCACACAGTCACTTCTGTGTGGAGCGAGTCACTGCCGGGCACCAGTGCAGTCATGAGTTTCAGGACCAGTGTCAGATAGAAGCAAAGTGAGCGTATCAGATAGCACCTGGCCGCAGAACTCCACCTGGCAGGAGGGGAAAACAAGGTTCAAAATGTACCAAACCAGAAGCTAGTCTGTGGAAATCCTGTCGTGAAATATGTAAAATCCAAAGTGGAGGATTTGTTTTCATGATGCCCATCAAAGTGCAAAATTAGGAATGCATTCAATAACTTGGCATATGCACTGAGAATCTTCTCTGAGCTGTGTGAAATGAAGTTTCTCAGAAACTGTCTTTACAGGGCACATACCTGTGTCTGTGTGGGAGCAGTACTGCACACGGGTATGTCCCATGTGAGCAGTACTGTACACGGGTGTGTCTGTGTGAGAAGTAATACACACAGGTGTGTCTGTGTGTGAGCAGGCACGCTGTGATGCCTCCCATCTCTCAATCATTTTGATCAATCTGGCTAGAGGGAAAGCTTCCTATTCTTTCTAATACAAAGTCATTATCATATAAAGAGGTTTTCAAACTATTCAGGCAAAACTTACAAACTTATTTTAACTAAAACTTAGAAGCAGTTTTTTCTGCTTTGGGGAGCCTGCTCTAGCTTGGGCTCCCATAATCCCAGAGCAGTTTTGGTTAGTGAGTCCTGTGGTGGTAGCAAGGCAGCCCTCCATCCAGGATCCTTGTTTTGGAGCTGCAGAGGTATTTTTCCTGAGGGCTCCTCTCCCAGGCTCTCAGGCCCTTCCCTTGCTGGGAAAGATAATGGTAAGGAACAGCCTGGTGCTCCACCTCACCTGCTGCATGTGGGCCCAGCTGTGGAGGCCTCATTTGCCATAGGTCGATTTGAAGTTCTTTTGATTCTGGGGGAGGTAGGATATATATATATATATATATATATATATATATATATATATATATATATATATTTTTTTTTTTTTTTGCCAAACCTCTATTTTGTATTATGTTTGGTTCAGGTGATCAGAAACACACAACTAAACTACAGGAAGGCCATTACCAGTTTTCTGTTTTCTTTAACAGAGTTGGTGTGGACCTGGATGAAGATCTGAAGGAGGAGCCTTCCTCACAACAGGCAAGTCCAAGAAGCCAAAACATAGAATATAGAGTTAAGAGATGTTCTGTTCCTTAGAATGTTCCTTGCTTGCCCAGCATGTTGCCAAGAAGTTGTTCTAAAGGGAGCTGCCTCTGTAGATAAAATTAATCAGATGACTATAAACTGACCCCCAGGATTCAGGGCGTCAATAAGCTCTGCATATCTTTTGGAGTGCTTAGACTTCATATACACTTGTGCCCTCTGTGTGGCAGCAGGAAGCCTGGAAACTGCAGGGTAGGAGCAAGAACGTGGCTCTTGGAATCAGGCAGCCTGGAGTTCAAATCCCTGCTGAGCAACTTGCTAGCTAAGTAATTTCAGTGAAATATACTCAGTGCAAGCCCAATGCATGTTGGACATCCAACAAATAGACCTGTTTCTGCTGATGCCTTCTCATTCATTAGGTCAAGGTATACAGAAATATTGAAAATTTGCAAAAGCACAGCAGAACTGTCTAGGTGAGCCATTCCTGACTTAGCTAAGTAACCATTACCTGCAGAGACCTGGATATCCTTAGGTAAAACTTTTCAGAACAATATGTTGTTCGCTCCAGTAAGGGAAGTCTATTCTCTAAGCTCTGGACTTGGACCTGACATCAGAGAGAATATGTCATTGCAGTTTTGCATTCGTCATCTTTAACTCAGTACTTGAACAATTGTGTAGAAATGTTGCACCTTTTGCTGAAATTGCAAGATAGATATGATCAACCAGCATAGTAAATAAGTGATACCACTTTAAGAATTGTGTATGATCATATCTGAACTTGAAGAAGACCCATCTCTTTTATTTTATGGCTTTTCTGCACAGTACCATCACTGCAGGCATAACTGCTAGTGCTGCTGCTTTGGGTTCACATAGATATAAGGAAGGAAGGACCCTGTGCTCTACAAGAAAGGACTGGAAAATTATATTAGTGCTGATCCTGGCTCACATGTTCATTAATATGCTCCATAGCCAGGCTCATGCTGTTTTCAGACACTTCTTTTCCCAGAAACACAGACAAGGGCAGGACAGCTCGGTGACCGCAGAGGAGCTCAGAACCCATCTCCTTACACTGGTGGGCTATCAGAAGCAGTTAGTAAAGTCCGTGACAGATGATTTGACAAAGCATTTTCATCTCATATAGGTCAACTAATCCATTCTACTTTCAAGTAAAATTTTCATCTAAATTTTACCCTACTCATATCTTCTTTTTAAAAGAAAGAGTAAGGAAATTCATCAAAGGAATTCTTTATCTTCCTCTAACTGCCTAATATTTTATAATCACATGTAATTATTGGTAAGATTACCTACTAGCCTAACTCTTTCCTTTTACAATTTAAATGTATTTTATTTTAGCTCATCACACAATTGTTAATTTAGTAATAACTCTTATCTAAAGATACTTAAACCAATAGAAAACTTTTCTTGTTGTTGTATGTGGTACTTGATAGTTTTTTATGTCTTTGAATAGAGTTGTCCTGTGTGTGAATACGAATAATACTAATGTCTACTTCTCCAGGTTGTTATGACAATTAAGTGAAATTGTAGCTATAAAGCTACCTAACAATTATATTAGTGAAACCCATCTTCTCTTATGAAAGATTTGAATCAGCTTACAATACTACAAATAATAAAATAATTGTACAACATTTTAAAAACAATTTTAAAATTCAATAAGAGCAGAAAGGCAAATTTAATAAGAGCAGAAAGGCAAAACTAAAGGAGAAAAAGGAATTATAAGTAGTTGGATCACAAGGCCCTGTAGACATCTGTAGCTGAACTGCAGATGGCCACAGTATTTTAGAAGTTTCTCACGTACTGTGGGGACTGATAAAGAGCCACCTAATGTGAACTAATACTGTAATTTGCATGGTTACTACTGCTGCCACTTCAAGTAATGTTGATTTTAGGAAGCATCTGAAAGTGTTTTGAATAATGATATTGTTTGGCCACATTTCAGAAAGAGGTTTTCTCTACACCTTAGAATAGTTCTTGTCTTCAGTGTAAAGTACAGGAAACAGTGGGCTCAGGATGTAGGAACAAACCACAGAATCAACACTGCTGCCATTCAACCCACTCAGTTTTTGGTGTTTGCTTTTTTTTTGGGGGGGGGGTTGTTTTGGGTACTTTCCAAGAACTTTTCTCAGCCCTCATTTTGCCTGACACCTTCTTGCTTATTATCTGCATTTGTTGCTCAGTCTGACAACAGAGCCTAACCCCTAATTCTTAGGAGCCTGCATGTATGTTTCCACTTGGTGTACATTGATTAAACTGGGCTTGCATTAGCAAATAGGAGAACATTCGCACTTGTCACCCTTTAAAAAAATTTTACTCTTACTTATCAAAAACCAAAAATTTCAGAGATATTTATGGCAATTACTGATCGTGTACTTGAAAAATCAACAATAAACATATTTAAAAAGAAATTTTCTCTTTATTTATGGAAAGTTTTTTAAAAGCCTTTGGGAAATATGAACTTGGAAATGTGACTAACTAGCAATGTCACAATTTTCCTTCTTGCCTTGTAACACCTTTAGAGTGTGAATGATGCTACATTCTTACTTGTACGTGTAGAGTGTGAATGATGTTGCACTCCTATTTATACCTGGCCCAGAAGTTTTAGAAAGCGTACTCCACATGCAGCTATTAAACTTTAATACATACTCTATTTGTGCTACTTTGAAAAATGGAATGTACTACAGTTTTGAATTCTATGTCTCTTAAATGAATAAAAAACAGACAAACCAAAATTACTCTACCCAGCAAAGCTATCTTATCTAATAAAAGAGAAACTTGGTAATTAGCGTAAAACTGCTACCCTTCCCATTGGCTAATCAGGGCGATATGCAAATTAACTGCCAGCCAAGATGGCTGCCCGCAGCTAGGCAGCTTAAAGCAAACATGAGGCTTGCTTGCTTCAGTGACGGAGGACTCCAACTTTCCCCGCCTGCTGCTGCGGGCCTCTGAGCTGCAACTCTAAGCAACTATGTTACAAATATAGAAGCTAAACAAAACCCCAGAAACCTGCTTTAGTCCGCCGGGCTTCAGCCAGCAGGATTGCAACATTGTTTCAAATACAGAAGGTAAACAAAGGCCAGAAACCTGCTTTCAGCAGCGGAGGCCTAAGAGCTGGAGGCAAGCCTCAAAGCTAAAGCTGACCTAGAATAAAAAAAAAAGAAAAAAAGGAGCGGTTGGGAGCTTCCATCACCCGCCAGCCTGAAAACAGCCAGCAGCCATTCACCCAGAATGGCCAGGCATCCCAGTGGGGACCTCCACCCTGAAGGGTGTGTGACCAGCTGCAAACAGCCATCATCCCCTCACCCAGGCTGGCCAGGCACCCCAGTGGGGACCCCCACCCTGATCCAGGACACCCTCCAGGGAAAACCAGCTGGCCCCACCTGTGCACCAGGCCTCTATCCTATATAATAAAAGGGTAATATGCCTCCCAGCACCAGGATCAGCGGAGCAGAGAGGCCTCCCAGCACTGGGATCAGCATGACAGGGGGCAGTGCCCAAACCCTCTGATCGCCCTGCTGCTCTGTGTGTGACAGGGGGCGGGGCCACAACCTCCCTATCCGCCCTGCTCTGTTCATGACAGGGGAAGGTGCCTCAACCCCCTGATCAGCCCTGCTCTGTGCCTGATAGGGGGAACTCCCCAACCCCCTGATCGCCCTGCGTCTCTGTGTGTGACAGGGTGCAGCACCCCAACCCCCTGATCGTCCTGCGGCTCTGTGTGTGACAGGGGGCAGTGCCCCAATCCCCTGATCAGCCCTGCTCTGTGTGTTACGGGGTAGAGTCATAACCTCCCCATCTGCCCTGCCCTGAGTGTGAGAGTGGCGGCACCCCAACCCCCTGATCAGCCCTGCTCTGTGGGTGATAGAGGGAGGCACCCCAACCCCCTGATCCGCCCTGCTCTGTGTGTGACAGGGGTCGGTGCCCCAACTCGCCTATCAGCCCTACTCTGTGAGTGACAGGGGAGAGCTCCTCAACCTCTTGATCGGCCCTGCTCTGTGCCTGACAGGGGGGAGCGCCCCAACCCCCTGATGGGGCCTGCTCTGTGAGTGACAGGGGGCAGCACCCCAACCCCCTGATTGGCCCTGCTCTGTGCATGACAGCGGGTGGTGGTGCAACCTCCCCATTGACCCTGCCTTGAGTGTGACAGGGGGCAGTGCCCCAACCCCCCAATCGGCCCTACCCTGAGTGTGACTGAGGGTGGCATCATAACCTCCCAATCTGCCCTGCTCCATGCATGACAGGGAGTGGCGCCCCAACTCCCCAATCAGCCCTGCTCTGAGCCCAACCAGGGGCTGGACCTAGGGATTGGGCCTGCCCTCTTCCACCTGGGGGGAAGGCCTAAGCCAGCAGGTCGTTATCTCCCGAGAGGTCCCAGACTGTGAGAGGGCACAGGCCGGGCTGAGGGACCTCCCCCCCTCCCCCAGTGCACAAATTTTTGTGCACCGGGCCTCTAGTCATTTATAATTGAAGGACAGATAAAAAGCTTCTCAGACAAGAAAAAGCTAAAGGAATTCAACAACACCAAGTTAGTATTACAAGAAATGTTAAAGGGACTTCTTTAGAAAGAAAAAATATGAAAAATAAAATGACAATAACTGCACACTTATCATATAATCTCTTTTAATGTAAATGGATTAAATGATCACATCAAAAGGCACAAGGTAGTTGAATGGATAAAATGACAAGACCCATACATATGCTGCCTACAAGAGACTTCTTTCAGATGGAAAGACACAAAAAGACTGAAAGCAATTTAGGCATTGGATAACAGACAACGAAGGACTATCCTGAAAAGAAAGAAAAGTGAGGTGAGCCTACATTCTTCTTGACCTTCTGCCTGGAGGCCCTTTCCCAATTGCAGTGCGTGGAGGCAGAGTCCTAGCAGAGAACAGTGCAAGTCAAGCAGAGAGCATCAGGCTCCCTGAGTTGAGGAGCCAGAGAGTGGAGTTGGCTGTTGCTTAAGTGGCTGGAATTTTTTGCTGTTG